TGCCAGATTACGCAGCCCTAGTCATTCCCTTCCTTGGGTGGTTGAACCATAATGACCTTAGATTGAGAGGTTAGGACAGGTGGTTTTATAAGCTAACTTACATGCTTACAACCTTACATCTCATTGTCTTAACTGTACTTCTTTACGAACATACGCAGTGTTGTTCAGGGCTTTTTATTGTGGCATTAAGCCCTGATGGCCAGAGGCTGACATTAGCCTCTTTTGATCACTCCGATTTTGGACCGGTATTGCATATAGACGATAACTCATACACACAAACTCTCGAGCAAAAGTAGGAGCAGCAGAATGAAAAATAATTAGCCAACCCATCCGATATCTATCTATATCTGTTCCTTTTCATATATATATTTATATATAAGAGGTAAGATAGAGCCGGCTCGTCTGCTTGACCTAGTGTTTACGAGAATAGGTTCCAGCTCTGAGGATGTTCACCATTTGATGGAGGAAAAGTCAGCCCGTTTTCATTTGATGTAAGAGAAAATGTTTCGTGGACTCGTCAACCTGAACGTCGTATTACATCAAAACGACTGCAGTACAACAGCAATCAACCGTCGTCTTCTGATGAGATCAGCCTACTAATCTTTTCTTCGTGCACTTTCATAACAAACGAAGGTCTTACCAACGCAACAATATTATTGAACTTTATGATGCTTGCCAACCCCCGCATCTATTATCGATATTTTCGAAGCCCATTCAGAACGTATACAAGTAGCGTCGTGCCCTGTGACGTGGTGGCACTCACGGCTATGAGGCAGAGTGGTAAAGAGTCGCAATAATGCACACCTGATGGTTTTTAAATTCTTTGTGTGTGCTGATGAGATATAGGCGAGATCGAACCTGCAGTCAGGCCTGGAAGAGAATCACATAATGCGATCTAGAATGACTTATTTAGTCTTAAATTAATCAATCAACTAGCCCCAATTATCTAAATCCTACATAATTTAATCTTGTTTAATAGCACAGACACCACAACTGCCACCAAAATGGGCAGATTGACCGTGGTGGTGATGGGGTCTATCTATCCTCTGGGCTAGTGCTGATTGCCTGCAATGCGGACGGGGATAGTTTGAGAGACCCTACCTACAGCTGAACCTACATCGAGGGAAGAGACTAGCTGGAAGCAAGACATCAGTGGACCTGGTCTTTAGGTCTGGTTGCTGCGGTGATGATGGAACGACATACATGCACACTTACAAGCCGATGCGGAAGCAGCAGCAGACACGGCCACATGGGCTCTTCGTCTCGACTCTTTGCGTGGCCATCATGCAAGACGAGACGACTGGTGATAACGACGTGGCGGTGTATGCTGAAGCCCTGAAGACTGTGCGTCTGTATGGTCTGGCAGCGCCTCCACAGACCGCCGATAAGAGTCAGCCTGACCACTCCCAGCTGAACCTCTCGACTTCTCCCTGAGGCAATCATAGCCTTATTCACACAGCCCCGAAGCGACCAGATATGCGGCTAGACAACGTCTTCGACTCAAGTGCTCTCGAATGGAGCCAGACCTTTTTACACGAAATAGAAAACCTCAGAGCTGCTAGCACCTACCTCATATACTTTAGCTCCCTAAGATATAGAGTGAGTCCGCCTTGCCCCTTGGCCGTCAATATGGACGCAAGAAATGAAAGTCTTTCTATAGGCGCATACATACATACATACATACATACATACATACATACATACATACATACATACATACATACATACAT